ATAGAAATTAATTTGAACATTTTATATGGTAGTCCCCAACATTATTTGGCCGTCATCCGCATCTGTCGCTGATAAATAACCTTGATTAATAATATAAATCTATTCACCCGCTCACCCCTATCCATTTTCATGCCTCACTATTATTTAATAATTAATTTTGTAATGGCAAACTTTTGTAAACACAAAAATTGTTCAAGTTTCGTTAAAATTCTGAAATGGGTTGCATACTTTATATACTTCTGTCCGACAAATACTTAATATTATCTAAAAAATTATTAAAATTAAATATTTGTATACGAAAATAAAGTAACCATCCCAATAAACATTTTTGACGTAATTTTTTATTATTATTTAATAATTAATTTTGTAATGGCAAACTTTTGTAAACACAAAAATTGTTCAAGTTTCGTTAAAATTCTGAAATGGGTTGCATACTTTATATACTTCTGTCCGACAAATACTTAATATTATCTAAAAAATTATTAAAATTAAATATTTGTATACGAAAATAAAGTAACCATCCCAATAAACATTTTTGACGTAATTTTTTATTGCATAATTGCAAAATATTATCACAATGCATTAAATTCTTACACGGGAAATGTTAAAGGTGCAAAAAGTAAGTTGTGTTTATTTAAATTCCCGTTAGAATTTCTAACTTGGGAATCTACCGGCGTTAAAATATCAAATTTTTCTATGTAAATCAAAATTTATCCCTTAAAAATAGACCTACAATCGATATAGAAGCAGTTTTTCACAGTAAAAGAGAAGAGAATGTTTTATGGGCACTCTACGCAAAATTTTTAACGCATTATCAGTTAAATCTAGTTAACTGTACTACTACGGCGAAATCAAAAGGTCAGTACAAACTTTCATATATTCTTTACAAATTTTGGCGTCAAGAAAATATTTAATGCTTTTGTATTTTTGTATTGAGATAATAAAATAATTTTCACATTTAGTATTATTTTACAAGAAAGGCACTTTATTTTAACGATTGTATGACATTTCGTCACCTGAGAATTATATTATTCTATCTGCATTTTTTTAAAATTTAGTTCAGTCTTGTTTTAAGTCTTAAAGATGCATATTGTTCTATCTATATATAATTGGGGTAGAAATTGTACAGTTTAAGGCTTAAACTGTACAATTTCTACCCTAATTATATATAGATAGAACAATATGCATATTTAAGACTTAAAACAAGACTGACCTCAATTTAAAAAAATTGAAATTTTGACAACTGTCAACCAACTTAAAACTAACTTCAGCTCGTGACTAAAAACCTGTTGCCAACTTCAGCCCGTGACTAAAGCGTTATAGAAAAAATCTAATAAACGAATGGTAGTAGAAAAAAATATATAAAATAAAAAAAATGAATTGAGATTTTTCAAAAAATAATTTTTGCAAAAAAGTGCATTAGTTCAAAGTTGCAAAAATAGCGGATGCACCGGGATGAATAATAAATCAATTAATCAATAAATAAAATGGAATTTATAGAACAAATACTTCCACTAAAACAAAACAAAACGAAAACAAAAAATACAAAACCCTAAACCGAAAAAATCCCGCATCTTCGCTCGCGTCTCTGAAAACTGAGAGCCGTCGCCGAAACAGCTGAAAGCGGTGTCGGTGGTGGGGGTGGGATTTAGAGGGGGGTCGGGTTGACATGCGGCCTGTCAGGGGAGGGGCTAAACCGCGTTCAGGCCTCAAAAACCACGGCTACGATTGGCTGTATATATCCTTTTTCTCTTTTACCGCACGGCACTGAAGCTATCTCGCTCCGGCGCTTGGCGGCGTCATTGTTCACACGGCGTCCTTTTTTGCGTTGTTTTAGGCGGTATTTTACGTCTTTGTCGGGTTGTTTGCCTCTTGGTAACAGGGGTGGACTTTGAGATTTTAGTTCTTGGGAACATTGTTATAATTGTTTTTTGAAAATATCATGATTATTATTCATTTTAGGAAAAAAAATGTTTTAAAGAAAATTGTAGGTTTTTAAATTCTATACAAAAAAAAATAATATTTTTTCGTATAAGGAACCTTTAAAGAAATATAAATGATATTTTATTTTTTGGAGTCTGTAAAACATTGTTGTAATGGTTTATTGAAAATAATATGAATAATATTCATGTAGGTAAAAAATGTTGTAATCGAAATGGTGGGTCTTTAAATTCTATACAAAAAAGGTACAATTATTTTTTTTGTTTACGGAACCCTTCAATAAATATATTTACCACTCCTAGGAGTGGTTTTTGATTTTTTGGAGTCTTTGTGAAACATTGTTATAATGGTTTATTGAAAATAATATGAATAATATTTATTGTAGGTAAAAAAATTGATAATTTACATTGTTATTATTCATTTTAGGTCAAATTTTTTTTTATTAAAATTGTAGGTTTTTAAATACATAGCAGGGTGCGCCTGATTTAAACCACGATTAAAATCAAGTCATTTTTTAAATTTCAATCAATGATTTAAATCATTTTAAAAAAAGTTTCTAAAATCTAAAAAAAACTCTTAAAAGATCTAAAACTAAAGCAAAATAATATTTGCTTATTTTGTTAAATAAAATGCGGACGGTGGTTTATTTGTTTATAAAGTAGTGCCAATATAATAGTGTTATAGTCAGGTATTTTTAGTAATTTTTTTAATAGGACATTAAAAAAAGCTTATAATATTGAAAATCGTAATAAAAATTAAAAAACTATTTTTTTTTTAATAAAAAATCATTGAGTTTTGATTTTTTTTTAAATCATGACTTTTTCGAACCCTGATACATAGGTACAATACAAAAAATATAAAATATTTTTTTTCGTATAAGGGATTTTGATATTTTAGTTTTTGAAGTCTTTGTGAAACATTGTTATAATGGTTTATTGACAATAATAAGAATAATATTTATTGTAGGTAAAAAATGTTTAAATGAAAATGGTAATTAATAATTACTAATTATTTAAATTCTATACAAAAATGATAAAATATTTTTTTGTATAAGGAATCGTTAAAGAAATAGGTGTGGGTTTTGATATTTGACATTGTTATAATGGTTTTTTAAAAATATCATGATTATTATTCATTTTAGGTAAAAAAAAATTATAAGGTAGGTACCTCTATGTATAATTGCAGGTTTTTTAATACTGTGCAAAAAATTTAAAATATTTTTTTTTGTATAAGGAACCGTTACAGAAATAGAAGTGTTTTTTATATTTTAGTTTTGGAGTCTGTAAACATTGTTATAATGGTTTTTTGAAAATAATAGGAAAATTATTCGTTATAGGTAAAAAATGTTTTTAAGAAAAGTGTGTTTTTAAATTCTATAAAAAAATGTAATAGTATATTATGTATCAAGTTTTATAAACGCCATTTTAGTTACGAGTTTTATTAAGCGAAGCTTGCAAGCGAGTGTTTAATAAACACGAGTGTCTAGATAAGTTTATAAAACGAGTTGCATACTATACTTTATCTACGACGACCACAAAGAAAAATTTAAATAAAATTTTATTTGTTAAACATTTTACATCTGTCAAATGTCAACGGATTTAACCTTACTTTTCTCTAATTTATAATAAAGCTAACTTCAGCCCGTGACTAAAATGCCCAAAAGCCACTATTACTAACTTCAGTCCGTGACTAAAACGCCATAAGTCACAGCTCGTCAACGTATACGTTGACTCCTATAGGAGTAGATAAAATATATTTTTTCTATAAGGAACCGTTAAAGAAATAAGAGTGGATTTTGATATTTTAGTTTTTGGAGTCTATGAAATATTGTTGTGATGGTTTTTTGAAAATAATATGGATAATATTTATTGTAGGTAATTATTTTTTGTATAAGAAATCGATAAAGGAATAGGTGTGGGTTTTGATATCATAATTACTATTCATTTAAGGTAAAAATTTTTTTTATTATAATTGTAGGTTTTTAACTACTGTACTAAAAATATAATATATATTTTTTTGTATAAGGAACCGTTAAAGAAATAGGAGTGGATTTTGATATTTTAGTTTTTGGAGAGTGTGAATCATTGTTTGAATGTTTTTTTAATAATATGAATATTATTCATTTTAAGTAAAAAAAATTCTAAAAAAAATAATACTATATTTTTTTTTGTATATTATTCTTAAAGAAAAAAATTTAATATACAAAAATGTAGTAAATATGTAGACTAAGGAATCTTATTTTATAACTTATTTTGTAATTCCGTTTCAACTTGTTTATACAGATATATCGTTCTAACATTGTTTCTATATTATTACAGTATACTAATATTAATATTCAGCATTTCTCTTGGGCTTGCCTCTGTTGACCGATGTGAATTACTCCCAAAAGTCGTAAACCAATAAAATCGAAAAATATTGACCTAATAATTCTTTAGAAAGTGTACTAAAGTAGCCGATAATAAAAATTAATACAATGGGAAGAGAAGCTCTATAACACAATAAAACAAGCTTATTGAACTTATTTGGCGTTACTTAAGAAATGTTGTAGATGCTTTAGATAATCCTAATACCTACAAATTTGCAAGTTCTTCGTTTAGTTATATAAATTTAGATATTTTATATTAGGAAAATCTAGAATATTCATAATTATACAGTTTTAATTAAAAACATGTTAATTTTATGTTATAAAACAAATATGAATACATCACAAAATTATCAAAGTTCCACTCTGCATAGACTCATTCAATCCCATATCAAATGAACATATCTCACTTCACCCAATCTCCACTAATAACTCCGTCCTTGTCGTAATCAACTCTCATCTTCTTTCTATTCATTTTAAAAATCAACTTTTTTCTCTCTCCGGTGAAACAGTCAACAAGACTGCGCCTATCTCTGTCCAACGCGTGGAACACCCTTCACGCCGGCAAACGTGTTATAAAAGTACGGGGTGTCTCTCTCTGACGCGCTGCAAGGGTGCGCCGTCTCGCTCAGGTCTTATTCAGTGTAAAAATTCACCCTCCTTTACAGTAATAAAAAGAGTGGGGGCCGGGATAAACGTATAATATCTCGCAGAGGAAAAAGTTTGGCCACAGTCAAGTCGCATCTCTTGGACTATCAGTGTGTATGTTTAAAGTTGAAGTTTTGTGGCGGCTACAGTGAGAAAAGTATGCATTTACCGAACAGCAACAACTTGGCCAAAATGACGGATATGATGTTCACGACTCTGCAAGAATCCCTACAGGAATACCACGGGGAGTTAGTGCAAACGGGGTCACCGGCAGTTTTGTGCAGTGTTTTACCTAATCATTGGAGATCCAACAAATCGCTACCAATCGCTTTCAAAGTTGTGTCTTTGGATGATATCCCCGATGGAACAATGGTGACCCTTAAGGCCGGAAACGATGAAAATTACTGCGCCGAGTTAAGAAATTGTACGGCTATAATGAAGAACCAAGTCGCAAAATTCAACGACTTAAGATTCGTTGGACGTAGCGGAAGAGGAAAATCGTTCAGTTTAACCATCACGATATCATGTGCACCGTTCTACCAAATCGCAACATACAACAAAGCCATCAAGGTTACCGTAGACGGACCTAGAGAACCAAGAACTAAGTCAAGTAGGTTTTATTTTTACATTACATTGTTTACAAGATAATAAACAAATCATAAAACAACTTATAAACACTATAACTATAAAACAGCATATGCACCAAGTTTACAATCTTAATAAAACCATTGTTTATAAACATATCCCATTACACAATCACTAAACATTTCATTCTTCTTTTTACAGATTATCAATATGGTTATGGAATCCCCGGTATGCCCGGAGCATTCAACCCATTCCTCCTCAACCCGCAATGGTTAGACAGCGCCTATCTATCCTATGCTTGGCCAGACTACTTCAGGCAAAGACCAACAACGCAATACCTACCAACACCAGCGCAAAATTTCCCTCAACCCAACTTCCTGCCGGGAAACCCAGGCTTAGTGCCACATCTACCCAACAACTTCGACTCAATGCATCTACGACCGATGCCTCAAAGTCCTCTGGATCAACTCACAGTGCGTCTAAGTCCAGTGTCAAGCTCCCAGCACAGCGAAACGCAAGAAACCAAAATCAACTCCACCATCAACGACCACAACAGCAGCCACTCCGAGGAAGAAGACGAAGAAATCGAAATCGACATCGACGTCAAGTCCGCGTTTGTGCCTCTGAAACCTGCCTCGGAGTTCCTCAAAGAAATCCAGGCACCAGACAGCACAACTCTAACCGAGGACACCTCTCTAAGGAAAAAGCTCAAATCCCCTTCAGCCCTCAGCATAAGAAGCATGTCTCCAAGCACGAAAATCCACAGCTCTCCAACATCGTTAAACTCCTCGAAACCAGTATGGAGGCCCTATTAGTTGCAATATCGTGTATTTTAGTGTTTATATTGTAAATTTTGTATATACAGATTATTTATGTGTTAGAGATTATAAATTTTAATAATGTACTACAATTGTGATAGGTAGGTGGCTGATTCATCAGCGAATAGTTAAATTTAGATATTTTTGTACAAACTGCAGATGATATAGGATAATAAACGAATTTATTAATGATATAAGTTTTTTATTAAATACCGTATGGATTTTATAATCCATCATATGTGAAGATTCTACAATGACAGTAGTTATTCTGACGAAGAACTTTCTTAAAAATTCCAGGCACCAGACAGCAGAAACTCTATAGACTTGGTTATAACCATTGAGAAAGAAATCCAAGTACAAATCTATGCAACATAGATTTCACAATCCTCGGGTGAAAGAGTAGTATAATAAATCAATATAAATCCGGTAATGTGCCCCCTGTGCACATATTTAAACTGTCTAGGCCTCCCCACTCGTGTGTGTATTGCACACAATAGGTAGAGGCTGATCGTGAACCTAACAGCTGTGCTGAAATAGGAGGCACACATTCGCGTTTAGTCGAGAATGAGTTCTCTCTTTTCAATATCGAAAACATCGACGAGAAGAATGACTTTATTTGGGCTAGGGCGTGAGCATCCTTAATTACATGAGTTGTTGAAAGGAGAGAGGGTCTCTGCTTTGAGGTAATTGATGATCATTTTTTGATGTATTCCAATATAAGAGATTTAGTGTCGGGAATTAAAAACAGTTGTAAAATTGTAAAACCAAAAGATTGCAACCAAATATTAACCAGATTTTATGTTAATCCAGGTCCACATAACTTTATGTTAGGTTTACAACCAACTGTAATCTGTTAACTAATTGAATAAGTAGTTTCTAATTATAACAAACATTTTGTAGATTTAATAACAAAATCCTATATCAATAATTCAACTATAATTCTTGTAATTTTTAAAAAGAACCTTATTTTTACAAACCTTTTTGTAGACACAGAACGTATTATAAAAATCAGATTTCTTAACATGAGTTTGTAGTTTGTTAACACGTTACGAATAAGAATAAAGTAAGTAGAAACATAAGTTGCAGACGCTGAAGTCAGTATTGTCAGTGGGAAATGTTTTGATTGACTGCCTGAAATCATGTGTACTTTTTCAACGAAATTATTTGTAACCTTTAACCTTTAAAATTAACAAAATGCTTACAAAATTGCATATTACCTAAAGGGAAACTTTCGGTAAAATATTTTCCTTTGTTAAAATACAAACCCTGGTTTTCTAGAAAAAATACTGTTAAAATTTTACAAAATAAAATTAACAAAAACTACAAATTCATCTGATTTTAATAACAGTGTGGCTTTAAAAAGGATTAACAAAATTAACACAAATAATACTGTTAAATGTTTGTTTATTGCGGCTTGTAGTGCATTTAAAATGCATTGAATATTAATAAGAATATTGGATTAAGTGGGATTTGTTGTAAAATTTTGATGGAGTTTATAGCGCTTTTACCTCACCTAGAAAATTCGCAGGTATAAGATGCAATTTGGGACAATAGTTTGAAGTTACCGAACTTAATTCGTTTCTTACAATCTTAGGATTAATAATTTTGATTTTGCATAATCGTTTGGTAATGGCTTCAATCCACTGCCTCATATTATGTGGTTGGACGTTTCACAGACACCCTGTATATCGGACTCTATAAACTTTTTCCATGATTTATTGTTTATTTCGGTACTTGATTCTTATGGTTTATTTTAAAAGGAGAATTACTAATTCTCTAAAAACCATGAAAGTCTTCATTATTCAACCAAACAAAATTCCAAATAATCACTCCACGCGTTTCTAATGATCATGAACAAAAAAATTTGGAGCAATAAAACCATTAAGATGCCTGAATAGACGGACTCAGTTAAGAAAGTAAAGCACATGATCGTAAATAATTACCAACAACGGTTGACACAAAAGATGATATTTATGACCGATTATTTGACCATTTTTGGTTTGAATTCAGACACTTTTTGGTCAGGTTTATGGTCTTTAATTTTTCATGCTCTCAATTTTTTGTCAGTTAAGCTTAAAATAGGTACATCCAAATGTATTCCCTGGTCAATAAAGTGTTTGCTTTATTTAATCTTATCGGTTTGGAAAAGTATACCCCATAACCAAAACACCCGAATTAGTTTAAATGTTTTTTCCCCACACGTAACCCCATCTTTTCCCAACTCAATGTGGATTATTCTGTAAGGGAACGTGGTGGAAAATTCACAGGAAACGCGGCTGGCTTATCTTTGGCCATTTCACTTCAAATAATACGACATTTAAGTTTTGGACAATGTCCCAAAGTTTTATTTTATTTTGATTCTTATTTTATTTAGTGGAAGAAAGGAGAATTAGCTATAAATAGGGTGGATAAATGGACGCGATGACCTTTCATATTGCTTTTTTATGGTTTCGAGTATTTGCATAGACTTTTATTAAAAACAAACCCAAAAATAACAGATTGTTTATCTGGAAAAACAATGAGTGAATAACCGAAAAATACATCTAAAAAATTCAACAAAAAGCCGTCACTTGGTGCATTTCGGATGAAAATGCGTTTTGTAGGGCCCTCAGCATCCCGTCGACAAAGTTTTGATACGGAACTCGTGAAGCGTATACTCTTATACCGAACATAAAGCATCGTGTTGGCTCAATAATGCTACCCAAGCATTACTTATTCAATAATTTTGTTCGAATGTGCACCTATAGTAGAATAGAGTAGCACAGGGGAACAAAGATATGGTGACTGTGTTGAAAAGGGTTGAGGAAGTCAACGAGTCCAAAGCTTTAAGTATTTTTGCAACTGTTATTTGGGAAAATTTTAACATAATTTTTTGTAGAGTTATTATTTTAACAAAGGAAAATATTTTACCGAAAGATTTGTAAAGGTAATATGCAATTTTGTAAGCATTTTGTTAATTTCAAAGGTTACAGATTATTTTGTTAATGTTTAACAAAAAATTTCGTTAAAAAAGTGCACGTGATTTCTGACTTCAGCTTCTGCAACCTATGTTTCTGCTTACTTTATTCTAATAACGTGTTTGTAACAACTGTCCAGAGTCCAGAAATCTGTTATTATTGTTATTCGGATTCATTATACATATTTAACAAGTGTGCGAAAAAAGATGCCATCACTGGTTTTCAAACTGTAATTAGGGGTTACAATGAAGTGGGTTAAAGTTGTTTTAGTAGTACTGATAATTATATTGTACCAAATTTCTTTATAATTTGATGATTTTAAAATGTTCATTTATGTAAGTACCTATGAGTAAATTTTTTGTTTAGGGAATTGGTTAAAAATTCTTTTCATTTAAGTTCCCAATTTCCAACAAATATTGTTGTTACTGTGTCTAAACAAAAAGTTTTTAAAAATAAGATCAATTTTGAAAATTACAGGAATTATGGCTGAATTATTGATATAAGATATGCTTATTAAATGTACAAAATGTTTGTTATAATTAAAAAACTACTTATTCAATTAGTTAACAGATTACAGTTGGTTATAAACTTAACATAAAGTTATGTAAAACTGAAGTAACATAAAAATCTGATTAATTTTTGGTTAAAGTTAATAAAGAAGGTAAAAAGTATGTTTTAATATTTTGGACATGATAAATAAAAATTCAAAGAGCTTGATTGTTTAGTTTGAATGCATCCACCATAAGGCCCCGACTTTGAACCATCAGACTTCCATTTGTTTCGGCCTCTACAAAACTCTATAAAAGGCGCTGTGAAAAATGTCCTGTTGAAAAAATCGTTAATTTTAATATATTGATGGAGTATTAAAAATGTTCAATGGGATCAAGCGTCCCCTTTAGGGTAGCAGTAATTAGGAGCCTTTGACATGCCGCTACACAATCGCTCTAATCGCTAATCAACTTAAACTACCTGGTCAATCAGTATAGCACACTGTGCATTGGAAAAACATTTTCAGTGGACGGAGTTTCCGATGTTTCTATTTATATGACTGTATGATAGCAACTTTAGAGCATATATTTAAATGTATACGTAAATACTATAGGGTAATTATATTGATTTAAATGTTTTAAGTTTTGTAAATTTTGACAATGTAAACCGCCAGCTTCGAGTCAAACTTTTGTCCACTCAATTCAAAATTTTCCGCACCCGTGTTATGTCCCCCGTTTCCCCATACATCGGCCGCCGCAACGCAGGGCTTTTATGTCGCCCCTTTCGCTGTGCCCCCGCCCCCTTGTGCCGCCACCCACCGTCTAATCAATCGATTTTTTAATACTTTTTATTCGCATTTGGCACTACGCTATTTGCACTTGTCCAGTGGCGGACATGATTAATTTCAAAACCATATTTCAAAACAAGTATTAAAAAAAAATCTTTAACTCATTCGGGCACGATATTAGTCCCTATGGGAAAATTTTGAAAATTTTTTAGGTTGTTACAGTAGTAGAATCTACTTAAAAATTATTTACAAATTTTTAGAAAGATTGACCGACTGGTTTTCGAGTAAAACATTATTAAACTTGATAAGACCACACGGGATGTTATAACGTGATATATCACGTATTATTGCAAAACTGTGTTCTAGAGGTATAAGTGCAAACATCTTCTATAAAATAAAGCCAAGTTTTTAATTAATGCATGCATTTTTTCGTATCCACTTATACGTTTAGTTCCATATGCATCTTTGTTAACTTTTACAATAATAAACTATAAAGTTGATTGTGTACAAGCAAAATTATCAGTCTGTCATTCTCGTTTGAAAGATCCGGCAACATTGCATTACGAACACGTGATTATCTACTGACTACTATAATTTCGTTTTAAAAATCCTTCTCCTTCTCTTCTTTGTTTTCTGCTCTTCTCTTTAGACTTTCGATGTATTTAACATCCTGCATGTTTTCTGTGGCTTTATTTTTTGGTCTCATACCTTTTTTAATATTTCTTCATTAACAACTTATTTTTAGATTTTTCATATAGAAATGTCACTGCCGCTGTCAAAAGCAAAAAACGTTACCATAGAAACCAAATATCAACAACTTGCCCTATTTTTGCTATTAACTTTCTCGTTTAGATCAAGGTTTAAAAAAATATATTAAAGAAGCTAATTTTCATAATATAATTTTTTTGCAAGCATATTACAGAACATATAAGCTATACTTATATAATA